TGCCCGGCGGGCAGGCGGGTTCGGGCTGACCTGGGTGGGTTTTAAATGAATTTTATCTAGTAACAGGAAAATACCGGAGGACGGGACTCCTCTGGTGTCCTACAGCACGCAGGGTCTATTTAGCGATTCCATCGAAAGCTGCCCACTGATATTTTACTTCAAAAGTCATCTAAGGCATCTGAAATATTTATAGTGGAGACTGATTTTGCAGGTGTCCCTCAGGACATGAAGTTGATGCACTGCCCCGGTGCTGTTGGGAGGACAAGGTGTTTAAGGTGGATTTGTTTTAATGGCCAGCTCGTGTTTCCCATTTGTTGCTCTCTCGTCCCTGAGCCCCGAGGCTGGGGATTCATTCCCATGCAGATCGCTCCTCTCCGTGTGTTTTTTAAAGCAAAACCCTTTGACTTTACATTCTCCTTTTTTTTTTTTTATTCTGTGAACTTCTAATTCTAAAGGCAAATTCCTGAAAGCAGCATCTATCTTCCCCCTCCACACGGAACTTTGTCACAAGACTATTAATCATGCCTTACACTAATTTGCTAATGCAGCATATCCATTCACAAGTGGAGGGTCTGTCTGCAGATGGATTTGTTACTGTGAGATATGAAAGCAGAACAAATTTCTTCAGGAAATATTTAAGCAAGGTCATAATAACATTCATGACATTCTGAGCAGTGGTGTGTCATCTGCTGGATCAGACAGAGCAGGGCAGCAGTCACGTTTATTGACTTAGTCTGTGGAAGAGCCCAAAGGTTAGACATTAATATTGAGACTATTTACTACTTCCAGCAGATGCTCATCAGATTGAAGTCCTGCAGATTGCTTAATTTGCTGCGATGGGGAAGAGGGAAGCTAAAGAAATTAAAGCAAGGTTATGTACTTCATTTTAGTCTCAAAAGGTCTTTACCTACATTAATTAATAAGCATTTCCATTTCATCATGCAATCTTAACTCGCTACTCTTCTTGCACTGCCAAAAGGTGACTGGGCAGAAGGGTGAGCACAGACCCTGCTCTGGGCTGGGTGTGGGGAACAATGCACGTTTCCAGTGCCTGTTGGGTGTCCCGTGTCCGTGCATCCCTGTGGCTGGAGGAGGTGCCCACCAGGCTGGGGGTGATGCCCGTGTGCAGGGGGTGTCAGCATGGGCCTGGCAAACCAAGTGTGTTAGGAGCGTGGTGGAAGTGGGCACAGACACTTCAGAGGGCAGAAATTGCTGCCAGTCTGAGCACAGTCTCTGTTTGCCCAACTTTGGTGATGTTTTCTGTTCCTGTGGAAGGTAAAGCTTCAGCTAAGCAGATACATTAAACCCACTGGGCCACACGCCGTGTGCTGGCACCAAGGAGGGTCAGGACATGGTTGGCCCTGAATAAATAACAAAAGCCAGACAACAAATAGATCAAATGCTGCATCCTGGCAAACTGCTGCAAAGTGCAACAAGTGGCTTAAGCAGACTGAGAGACAAAGTACAGACAAGTTCCAGAGCCTGCATCAGGAAAGTCACAGGTCTCCTAATGCTGTAATCACAGCTGGACACAGAGACCCCCACGTCCTGCACTGAGCCCCTCTGCAAACACTTCCCTGTGTCTCAGAAGTGGGGAAAGTATTGAGAAGAATGGGATCCAGCGTGAGGGAGGTGGGCAGGTACTCATCACCCCAGCACATATGCAGCTTTGCACTTCAGGCAAATCAAACATTTCATTATTTTGCTCTCAGAATAGCAGCACTCACTCCCCTTCCCCGCAGAAGGGCGAGAGGAGCAGGAAATGACTCGCTCAGGATGGCACAGAGAAACTGAGGAAGCTGGAAATGAGGTACATGTGTAGGGAGTCAGAGCTGTTCATCCAGCTGTTCATCCAGCTGTTCATCCAGCCCTCCCTCCAGACAGCCCCAGAGCGAGTGCTGTGCACAGGAGCAGGAGGAGGAACTGTAAGATGAACGGGTGATTCACGGGAGGATGAAGAAAACACAGCACAACCTTCCTTCAGAAGCAAAATCCATTTTAAAATGAATCGTGCTGAATTCACAAGGAATCAAACATGAGAATCCTGAGGGAGTCAGGCTTCAGTCCTCAACCATTGGGCAAATGTGACACTTGTGCTGGAATGGGCCAAGTTCAGACGTGAGTGCAGGTGGCTCTGCTGTCACCTCCCAGGGGGACGTGGGCACAGTCACCCCTGCCCTGCAGCACGGCCCAGCCCCCCCAGGAGGGACTCCTCTGCCCCCCCAGAGCCTGGGCTGTGCTTCAGCACAGGGGCTGCATGGGCACAGAGACTAAAATACTGTTTGTCCCTGGGGCCACGCTGACCTATTTTTTTACTTCATATTTTTATTTGACAGTGGACTGGGAAAGAAATGGAGAGGCCATCTGAATTTTACCTGTCATTCAACCCCACACTAGCATCATGCATTTGATACTTAGAGCAGACAAAACTCACCTTCCACCAGTGCTGAATGTCTCTGCTGAAAATTCTTTTTGTGGTATTCCAGATCTGTAGAGATTTGGGGTGGGTGGATGACTGCAAAAGAAAATTTCGTATTTTGAAATACTGGCAGAAAGGTCTCTACTAATTGATGAGAATTTTTGTGAAGAACTTTTGATCTTTACTGATTCCAAACAGCAAGGCTTAGCTGGTTTTTGTAAGGAGCTGTATTTCCCATCGGCACACATCCCTTGGAATCTGGAAGATAAATAAAGGTCGAGTGCACGCTGGGCTTTAGTCATTTTATGGACTGAAGCCTTTGACTGTTTACAATCAAGTCAATTTTGTTTTCAGTAATGTTAAGTTAACCTCTAAAAAATTGTGTCAAGGAGCTCAAAGCCCTGAAAGCGTGCTAATTAAAGAGATGAACTAGGTTGAAGGAGAATTCAACAGTGAAGCTGCTGTCATGAAACAAGCTCGCTCAGTTTTCTCTCTGCTTTAATACTTTTGCCTTTTCCAAACACTTCTTTTTACCCAAAAGCTTGTGCTTTGTCTCTCGAAGGCTCAGTTGTGCCTCACAGGCTCTGGGGCAGCTGCTGCTGTCTCAAGAAGTGCAGTGCTCCACATGCCAAAGGGATGCTCCACGTGCCAAGGGATGCTCCACGTGCCAAGGGTGCTGCTGGCAGTGCCCAAGCCCCTGCTGTCGAGGGATATTTTCAGTACATTTCTTTCGTATCCTGATAGTGGGGATAAGCCATATTTAAAATATCTTTTTTCTAGTCTCAGGGCTTCTTTCTCACCTTCCAGCACACTTCTAGTTCTGTAAAGTTAGACCTGAGCTCATTAAGAGTGCTTAGGTGTTTGTATAACATTTCACACCTCCCAGACGTGGGGCAAGCTCCCACTGATCCTCCCAGCCCTGCGATGAGCTCTGCTGAGCTGAGAGCAGCTCTGAGCACCACAGCCCTGCAGCACCACAGCTCTGAGCACCACAGCTCTGATCACCACAGCTCTGAGCACCACAGCCCTGCTGCCCAGCCTGCAGGCTGAAGAGCTTGATGGTGGGCAGGAGGCCTGGCCAAGGACAAGGCTCCCGTGAGCGGCAGCACTGCGGGGACACAGACTGGCTGGGAGGCCGTCGGCTCCG